AAAAAGGGTCTCCGATTCTCTACACTCACTATACGAAACAGCAACTTTAAGCTGCTATTTTACGCTGGTATTCTGTGAGAGCGTGGTCCTCTCCTTATTCTTTTAAAGGATAAGGGTGACAAACGAGCACACAGTTCACTTGATGGTAAGTGGTTGCTGTGGCCTAAAGAGGTCTCACACCGATTAAGAATTAAAATGCAGATGCGTTGTCACCCCACACTAAGATGGAATGCCTAGTTTCCAGTATAAAGTGGCCTCCGGTCCTCTACAGTCATCATACGAAACACGGCAGCATTAACCTGCTATTTTACGCTGGTATTCAGTAAAAGCGTGGTCTTACTCCGGGCCGGCAAAGGTGATATGTATGTATGATATAAAAACAATATTGATTGCTTACTTTGACATTGTAAGAGAGAAGTAAGAAAGAAAGAAAACATTTTGCATACTACGTACACTACAGATAGCAAAGAAGTTATAATAAAAAAAAAATTAAATATACAAAAATTAAGACACTGATTTAGGTGTAGTGCATAAAGATATTTTTTTATATAGATAACGGTAACAAATGAGCACACAGTCCACCTGATCGTAAGTGGTTGCTGTGGTCCATAGATATCTAAATCTATCCTCGACTATGAATCAAAATGCACCCCTGAGGACTAAGTGAAATGCCTCGTTTCCAGTAAAAAGGGTCTTCGGTTCTCTACCCTCACTATAAGTAACGCTGCTATTTTACGTTTGTATTCTGTGAAAGCGTGGTCCTTCCCCGGTCGAGTCGACCCATTCGTGCTACAACTATACAATTCATACAGCTGCAGCATGTCTCTACCTTGTTTAAAATATATATATATATATATATATATATATATATATATATATATATATATATATATATATATATAGTATTACAGTAAAGTTAGTATGTTAATGTATGCTGGACCTGGAGATTATTTTATATTTTATATATTTTGTCATCAGAGGCAGCTGGACTGAGTATCTAAGTGGCGCAAATATGAGTCCCTGAGAGATGACTACATATTTGTGCCATTTGCTGTAGAGACTATCGGTCCGTGGGGTCCACGTGCGGTGAAGTTCCTAAAGGAACTCCATCCGCGGCTGGTCGTTGCTGCTGGTGATATGAGGGCTGGTTCTTTTCTCGCTCAAAGGCTAAGTATAGCCATTCAGTAGGTATAGCATTCGGGGAAACGCAGCCAGCGTTCTTGGCACGATACCGCGGAGAGTAAGACTATATCATAATTAAGTCTCTAGTTTAGTTTTTTTTTGTTATTTTAGTTTTTAATATTGTATATAATTAAACTTTAATTATTATGTATGTAACACAATTAATATTAAACATATAGTCCCCATCTTCACACTTTGTAACCTTTTTGATAGTAACAATAAAATTATAAAGAAATAATAATTTGTATTCTATGCAAGTGTTAGACTTTTAGAATTTTAGTTTTTGCAGTTTATTGGAGTTAATCGTTTCATATATAGCGCACGGAAACTACATCTATACTTGTAATATATCTGTAGGAAAGTCGTGTCTGTAATTGTAATATATTCAAATTAATTGTAATTCTAATATAATATAACAGATCAGGACGTTGCAATGGTTTTTGAGAAATATTTTACTGATATTCCGATATTAACCACTAAGTCACTGAATTCTTCTCCTGCCGTCGCCGAATCATTACTTAAACAAAATGTAAATGCGTGTACAAAGAATTTTACATTTCATAAAGTGTCATCAAAAGATATTGTAAAATATTTTAAAACTATTGATGTTAAGAAAACTGCGGATCTGTGGGGGATTTCCGTTAAAGTTATTGCGTCTATAATAGATACAATCGCGCCTCATTTAGCTATTATTTTTAATACTAGTATCGAATCTGGTGTGTTTCCTGATTAAATTAAATTAGATTAAAAATACATTTTTTAAAATTTTTGTTTGTCTGTCCGTCTGTCCGTTTAACGGACATTTAACGGACTTTTAACGGACATTTTTGTCTGTCTGTCTGTCAGTCCGTTTGCGCGGAACTCTAATTCTTTTTCTAAAATAAAAGTAGCCTAAGTAACTTCTTATAACATTAGCTATCAGTCAGTGAAAGTCCCGTCAAAATCGGTCTAGCCGTTTCGGAGATTAGCCGGAACAAACAGACAGACAAAAATTTCAAAAATTGTGTTTTTGTTATAAGTGCCGTATATACTTTCATATGCAATTTAGTAAAAAGCTGTTATTTTGACATTACAAACAGACACTTCAATTTTACTTATTTGTATAGATTAAGAATCAAAATGCAGATGCGTTGTCAGCCGTGAGGACTAAGATATAATGCCTTGTTTCCAGTATAAAGGGTCTCCAGTTCTCTACACTCACCATACGACTGCTTCTTTGGTCGCGTCAACCTATTCTTGCTATAACAGCGTGTCTCTAACACGTTGTAATAAGTACAAATGAATACAAATTAAATTTAACATTTTAGTTAATACGACACAAAATTTACGGCCTATATATGTCCCACTGCTGGGCACAGGCCTTGGGGATCGAACTTGGGTTGCATGGTGAAAATACCGGCGATCGCTTAGTCGCCCACTAGATGGAGTGACGACCTGGCAAGAGATGCGTAAGGTTGATGGCTGCAGATGGCTCAGGACCGTGCTTTGTTGCGTTCCTTGTGGACTAAGTGGTAGAGTCATGCTGCAGCTATATTACAGTAGTAGTGTCATCAGCGATGGCTTCTGCACCGATGTCAAGCACTGACGCTCCGGGAAGTCTGCAATTTGTCAACATGTTCAGGATCATCCCAACTGTTATATCAGATTTAAAAGATCACAAATCCTAGCAAAAGGACACCGATTTCTACCAAGGAAGATTCACGAGACTATTGAAATTAAAAAACATCCTAATTTTTCTATTGATAGAGAACGTTTTTTTTTGCGCATGGTAGAGCCATGCTGCAGCTATATTAATAGTATAGTTGTAGTACGAATGGGTCGGCTCGACCGGGGAAGGATCACGCTCTCACAGAATACCAGCGTAAAATAGCAGCTAACACTGCTGTGTTTCGTATGGTGAGTGTAGATAACTGGAGACCCTTTTTACTGGAAAAGAGGCATTCCATCTTAGTCCTGACGGGTGGCAACGCATCTGGATTTTAAGAATAGATGTAGATGTCTATGGGCCACAACTACTTACCATCTGGTGGACTTAATTTTATTGTCTTACGTGGTAGAGCCATCTCTACCACGTATCCACGTAAGACAATAAAATTAAATACGAACAAAAGCATACCACTGCAAGACTTCAAGATACTGTAAGCTCGTTCTGCGTAGATCAGACCAAAAACTAATAATTTAAAGGTCCTCCCCGTGAAAATTAAAAGTTAAAATTAAAAGCGATTAAATCCGTTAAATTAGTTTCATTCCATGTGTAGTACTCGCGTAACTACAAGAAATCGTTATTTTACTACGTTTATTACAGTTTCCACTGCTGAACACAGACCTCCTTCATAGTTTGCCTCATACGGCGGATTTACTATGGTTGCCACGCTTAGATTAGCAACCGCAGTTTTTTTTTATTTTATATCGTTATTAGTAAGATGCTGCTCATCTCCTGAGTTGTTTCCTTCTGTCACTTCTTACGACACCCACGCAACGATATAGGGTACGAGGGCGACACTGAAAGTTTTTAGAACTGGCCACTTGTAAACGGTATAATAAAAAAATAAGTTCAAATTTTGAAAATGGAACTCTTTGCCAATATTATTGTGTATGTATTTTATTAATTTGTCATTTGTTTACGATTTGGTGGCAAATTAAAAATAGTCTGGTTCACGTCAGCATGAACTTAACGCGAGAAAATTTTCATACAATGATTTTTTATGACTTTCGATGTTAATTAAGTCAAAAAAAAGTTATTATAGACTTCGATTGGCCTTTCACGATGAAGCTCCATCTCGTGCTACTGTTTACAACTGGTTTAATGAGTTTAAACGTGGTCACACTAATCTCACCGATGATCTGCGTGAGGGACGGCCTTCTATGGCGACGACGGAAGATAACATCATTGTTGTGAGACTGATAAAAGAGTAACTTATCAGCAGATTCGGACAAGCTTAGGCATCGGTATGAGTCAAGTGCATAAAATCTTTCATGAACATTTAACGGTCTTTGTGTCCAGTGGATACCTAATAATTTGACAGAGGCCCAAAAACTCCGTCGTATTGATTGGTGTCGTGAAATGGTTCAAAGATTTAACGGAGGTGTCTCAAATGTGACTGAAAGCTGGATTTATTGTTATGATCTTGAAACTAAGAGACAGTCTGCTGTTTGGGTGTTTCCTTCCGAGGAGTTGCCAACTAAAGTGAAGAGAGGTCGAAGCGTGGAAAAAAAGATGGTGGCCTCGTTCTTCGGAAGGACAGATCATTACGCAACAATTGTTTTAGAGAATCGAAAACAGTTACTGCAGAGTGGTACACTGAAAATTGTATGCCACATGTCTTGGAAAAAGTTCGGGAGAAACGGCCTCGCAGTAGGATCCTCCTTCACCACGACAACGCCACGTCGCACACCGCCAAGAAAACAATCGACTACTTGGGGACGTAAGACGTGGAATTACTGGGTCAGCCGCCCTATAGCTCCGCCCTCGCACCTTGCGATTTTTATTTATTTCCGAAAATAAAAGAAAAACTTCGAGGAAAACGTTCTATGGACACCGAGCAAGCAGTGGCTGCGTTTCAAAATGCCGTCGAAGAGACCCCTAAGGACGAGTGGGTAAAGTGCTTTTCTCAGTGGTTCCATCGGATGCAGTGATGTATTGATGTAAATGGACAGTATTTTGAAAAGATATAATAAAACTAATAATTTGTTAGTTTGTTCAGTTTTTGATTTTCTAAGAACTTTCAGTGTCACCTTCGTAGTGGATATTCTTACACCGCGACTACGCGGTACTTATTGTAATGTTATTAATAAAAAATAATTTGTTTTCGTTGCAGAGGACACCGAAATGCGCTCGGTGTCGCAACCATGGCGTGGTGTCGGCGCTGAAGGGCCACAAGCGGTACTGCCGCTGGAGGGATTGCGTCTGCGCCAAGTGCACGCTCATCGCAGAGAGACAGCGCGTTATGGCTGCACAGGTACAGTATCTTGAACTTTCTTTTCTTCACATAAGTATACGTGGTAGAGCCACGCTGCAGCTATATTATGGTCGTAGCACGATTGGGTCGACTCGACCGGGGAAGGATCACGCTTTTTTTTCAAACCAGTGGTAATTAAACAAAAGAGTGACTTTCAATAAGTATTATTTATAATGAATATTTACTGAAAAAGAGGCATTCCATCTTAGTCCTCACGGGTGACGACGCATCTGCATTTTGATTCTTTATTGAGGATAAATGTAGATGTCTATGGGCCACTGCAACCACTTACCATCAGGTGGACTGTGTGCTCGTTTGTTACCCTATCTTATAAAAAAATCTATGTTGAATAAAAAAGTTTGTTTCTGTTCTCACAGAATACCAACGTAACATAGCAATAAAACATCTGTTAATTAAGAACCTAATTTTTCTTACATTTACGACTTTATGTGGTAGAGCCATACTGCAGCTATTTTATGGTCGTAGCACGATTGGGTCGACTCGACCAGAGAAGGATCACGCTCTCACAAAAAACACCAGCGTGAAATAGCTTAATGCTGCTGTGTTTCGTATTATGAGAGTAGCGAACCGGAGAATCTTTTTACTGGAAATCTGGCATTCCATCTTAGTCCTCACGGGTGACAACACAATTGCATTTTGATTTATAATTAATGCTAAATTGTGGATCTCTGTGTGTCTACCACCACCGCTACTTTAAAAATATTTGTCGCTTTCTTTTAAACAATGCGACACTTAAATCTTAGTATAATTTTATCGTGATGTAGGTCGCACTGAGGAGGCAGCAAGCTCAAGAAGAGAATGAGGCTCGGGAATTGAACTTGCTGTACGGTGGCCAGCCGTCGGCGGTGCCGCATCACTACCCTGACCTGCCTGATGATGCACCAGGTGGGTTTACTGTGATTATTGCAGCTAATCGATCATGTAATTTCAACAACGCTCTCTTCTTTTAAAAAAGTGGTTGTGACACTCTATTTTGTATCGTTCTTTGGTTCGCTTTCTAGCCTATGTTCAGCAGTGTACTTAAACGGATGATCGATTTATCAATCTGTCTCTTTTGACTGGCAATAAATAAGTTTAATGCGTCAGGATCCGAAGAGTACGAAGAAACAGAATTAATTTATACATTTTCTTATTTTGTATTTTCTCAGTGTGTTGATACAAATTATAATGCTTTGACACGATTTATGATTTTAATAAAGGTTTATATAGACTTAATAAAGGTTATAGGTTATTATAAAGGTCCACGTTTCCAAATTATTTATTGAAACAATATCGTAGTTGGTCGCGCAGTGGCATATTTGAAATGGTTTAAAGGTTAATCCACTAAGGTTGTACACGAAATGTAATAATATATATACGTGGTAGAGCCATGCTGCAGGTATATTATGGTTATAGCACAAACGGATCGGCTCGACACTCACAGAACACCAGCGTAAGATAGTAGCTTAATGCAGCTGTGTTTCATTTGTTGAATGCAGAGGACCAGAGACTCTTATTACTGGATACGAGGCATTTTAATTCAAGTCCTCAAGGGTGACAACGCATTTGCATTTTAATTTTTAATCGAGGGTAGATGAAGATGTATATGGGTTATAGCATCCGCTCACCATCAGGTGGATTGACTGTGTGCTCGCTTGTCATCCATATTCTATTAAAAATAAAATAAACATGTCGCATTGTATTTGCTACCAACACTAAAAATAAGTTTTTTACAAAATATTATGGGCATTGATGGTAAGGGTAATGAGTAAATAGATGGTTTCTGCTTTGTTCGAAGTTGGTTGCAGTTGTTCACAGCCATATATTTAAATGCAAATTTCGTTTAGTTTTTCAAATATTTTTGGTGTCTTTTATTTTAGATTTATTTTTAACATTTTCAATTAAAAGCGTCATCGAAAATCTCAAGTTGCCCATTAATGCAAACAAAGGTTTGCGTAGAAAGGAACGCACCGAGGAGGCCAATTACGCGGCACAAAAGTGCAGTGTTGCCACTTGTGACGGCTCCGGCTACTCCAGTAGTGATGGCGGGCGTTTAATATAACTGCTATTTTTGTCTACGTAGAGCCTAATTTCTGGAACAATGCTATAGTTAGGTACAAGTTATATAAATTGTAGGTTCCATTTATTTTTTAATGTAAGAGTGATAAGTGAGCTATAAGCCTTTCCGCAGTTCTATGGTTCTATTGCAGTTCAAGTATCTACATTTTTACCCGACCGCCTCAAAAGGAGGGTAATGTTTTTCGAGTGTATGTACCGTACGAATGTTTATTTCTTTGACACACTGTAGCTTAAATGGCTTAATGGAGTTGTGGAAGAGCCATGTGGTCGGATTTTTATCTCTTTACTTTAATTTAAAAAAAGCTTTATTATAAATGAATTACATTATGTAATTTTTAGCCTAAACATTATTATTACAAATTATAATTTAGTCCCAAACTAGGATTTATCTTCTATTGTGATACTTACTTAGTCAGTGATTCAGTGTATTCATATTTATATTAATTACGCAAACCAAAAATAGATCAGGAAAAATTTAGAAACAGGAACAACACTAGTGATTGGATCAATTTTGCCGGATATTGTAGTCGTGCCCCGCCGGAACAGAGACCAGGCGTCGCGCAAACTGTTCACTTGCTAATTTGTTCCGATGCCTTTTTAGAAATTCTATTCAACAACTCGTTTTCTGTTGCGAACCGCGCGGAACATTTTTCGAAATGCGAAGCTATATAATTTAAAATTAAAAATTTTGCACAACCGACTTCAATATAAATTACGAGTATTAAGGATAACCGAAAAACTTTTGGTTAGACCGTGATCAAATTTATATGGGACCACATGAGAAGCACCAGCTTTTAAATAAAAAAGAATCGTCGGAGTCGTTTCACGTAGAACAAAGTTATGAGGTGACACAGATTAATTTTGATTCTGTCGAAATTTGGGCGGTGCTGCAGTCCCTTCAGCGATGCCAAGTTGACTGTCGGTATATCGAAGTGCTGAAGTGCTTGTACAGTAGGGTTACGATGTCTATACGAGTACAGAACCAGAGTACGAAACCTATCCAACTGCAGAGAGGTGACAGGGTGACGTTATATCCCCGAAACTCTTCACCGCTGCATTAGAAGACGTTTTCAAGCTTCTGAACTTGAAAGAATACGGTATTAACATCAATGGCGACTACATCACTCACCTTCGATTTGCCGACGATATAGTCCTTATGGCAGAATCGCTGGAGGACCTAAGCACTATGCTCAATGACCTCAATAGTGTTTCCCAACGGATAGGTCTTAAGATGAACATGGACAAAACAAAGATCATGTTTAATGTCCATGTCACACCTATGCCGTTTGTTGTGGAGCACTAAGCTCGAAGTTGTTAACGAGTATGTTTACCTGAGACAAATAGTCCGACTAGGTAAGTCCAACTTCGACCAAGAGGTCAATCGACGGATTCAACTCGGTTGGGCAGCGTTCGGGAAATTATGGCACATCTTCTCATCAGGTATACCTCAAAACTTAAAACCGAGACTGTAGAATCAGTGCGTGTTGCCAGTCATGACTTATGCAACTGACTCGTATGAGGAAGCTCAAGGTCACTCAGCGAGCTATGGAGAGGGCTATGCTCGGAGTTTCTATGCGTAATAAACTTAGAAATGAGGATATCCACAGTAGAAGGAGGAAGGAGAGTGACTGACATAGCCCAACGGATTAGTAAGCTGAAGTGGCAATGGGCCGGCCATATAGCTCGAAGAACCGACAACCGATGGGGAATAAAGGTTATCGAATGGCGGCCTCGTACTGGCGGACAAAGTGTGGGGCGCCCCCCACTAGATGGAGTGACGACCTGGTAAGATATGCAAGAAGTCGATGGATGCAGGGGCTCAAGACCGTGCTTTGTGGCAATCCTTGGGGGAGGCCTATGTTCAGCAGTGGACTTGTGAAGGACTGTAATGATGATGATGATGATGATGATGATGAGTCGAATTGAGTACCTCCTGCTTTTTAAAGTTGGTAGAAAATGAGAATCTCTATGCTTCTTGTAAAATTTCAAAATTAATTTGCCTCAACATTATTTTATTTAAAAATTATTTTTTAACCATAAAGATCACAGCATTTTCTGCCAGTTAACTCATGTCGTGATGATAAAATAAATTTGTAAATAATTATGCTTATAAATTACACAAACACCTACATATGAATACATAATAATATTGGTATGTAGTATATAGAATATTTATTTGGTGAGAAAGGCAATTTGGTGATGATAGACTTTTAGGCCAGCCACATACATACGGAATTCCGTTTGGGGATTTCCGTTAATTCCGGTTCGAGATTCCGAACGCAGCAAGTTCATATAAAATCTATGAACTGTCACACCTTCACACACGTACCGTAGTTTTTCGTTGGAAATATTGCGGAGGCAAAACGGCCCGTTCGGAATTACGAAACGAAATCCCGAAACGGAATACCGTATGTATGTGGCGGGCCTAAAAGTCCATCACCAAATTGCCTTTCTCACCAAATAACCTGTCTTTACTATACCAATTATGTTTAACACATACATATCCTATAGACAATTTATTAACCAAAAATAAATATAATATATAATAAGGGAGGGGATATCTGCTAATATTAAAGCTTATAAACACTTAAGCAACACGCATTGAGCATGAGCTGTGATAATCCTAGAGAGAATTCAAGGTCATAATAATAAAATTACTATATTGTCATCGGTTCTTATACGTATGCAAAATTTCAAACCAATCAGACTTCTAGAATTGAATTAGAAAATTCCATTACATACTTACATGTCAAGCTAATACTTGTATAAAGTGGTTTTTATTGTAACCTTTGATCCTGTGATATAATATCAGGATACTAAGATATAGTTGTGTACATTATTGTCCTTAATGTGTGCTAATTTTCAAGTCAATCGGCCGTCTATAAGGATTAAAATTACATAACCTAAATTTAGTAAACTATTAACTAATCTGTGACCTAAAAGATTCCACAATCCGTATCCGATAGATAGATACACGCAAAGTTAATAAAAGCATGTTAAAAATTAAATAGTTTGGAAAATTCAAAAGTGCACGCCTCATGAGTGTTTTATTTTTTTTAATCAAAATTAAATGAAATTTTGATGAAAAAAATAAATAACTTTTAAACGGCGTTGAGTTCAATAACAAACATCAATAGGGATCTTTCTCTTTCTTTCTTTAAAAAAAAAACGTAACCTCCACACTATCATTGTCTCCTGTATCGTGGGGGCAGTTTACAAACATAAATTGCTCAAGGACAAACAGCCAGACGCGGAACAATTATTTATAGGCCATACAAATACTTGTTCCGTGCGCGATACGCACCCGCAGCCCTTAGCACTGTGCTACGAATCCTCCATAGAATATATGGAATCTTATTTAATACTACATATCTCAATCTATTGCTTACATTTCTATTAAGCAAGAAGACTCACCGACGCACAGACCAACGCACGACAGTCCATATATTTTTTCAATTAAATTTTTAGTTATGTAATCTAAAATGAATCAATTGGAAAATAAACTAATCTTATAATTCAATTGTAAAATGTCTGTAGTTATTGTAACGTTAATAATTTGATGTCTAGCTAAAAGTAAGTGTAAGAACGATTTTATGTAGCGAAATTGAGGTATGGCCACATATAGAGAGTAGAGCACTTCCTCACGTTGTGAGGCGTGTAACTGCTCTAGAAACGATTTTTAAAAAATTATAAGCCAACTCTTGTAAAGTAAGAAATTATTGTCAGATGTCAACATCTTTTTAATCTTGAACCGTTTCTAAATGGATTCCTTTGGCCGCAAAAGAAGCGACAAAAAAATCTACGCAGGTATCTTTTTATCATACTTT